GTATAGTGGCGGAGGGAAAAGGGAAGGTAGAACCCCCCCCCCCCTTCCCCCGCCTCGGAGACTACTCTGGCTTCTGTGGTTGCACCACCAGCCGAGCTATTTTTGCTAGCAAGCGCTTCCGCGTAAAATTAGATATGCTACCTCGATCCGACCATGCTTTGTGTTTTTGATTCTTTGTTCAGTTTCTGTTTCATCGCCACCTTTCTTCTGGCCACTCGTGCAGCTGGAAAGCTTCTCTGTTCATTTTGTGTTTTGAACTTATCCCAATATTTCTGTAGAAGTATTTATTGGACCTTTTAATTGCACTGGCAGTCCTTTTTCTGTCTCACTGGTTCGTCAGTGTGTTGCCTGTGGCCAGCTCAGCTTTTCTTCCTGGCCGGCACCTCCCCGAAAAAAATCTCTGAATCTTCGAAATCTCCGAAATATCCAAAAAAAAAGATCTCCGAAAAAATCTCTGTTGCCATATTGGAACTGCTGTACTTCATTGGAGATAGATTGTAACACTTGCTGACCCCTAACATGCGTCCACTTCACCTTGCAGCAGAATCGAAGGTGAAAAGTGTGTCGCTTTCACAATCGATGCCTCTTTTTTCGAAATTTTTTTGATGGCTTTCGCTGCTTTCTCATTTCTCTTATCAAAATTGAGCTATTTGCATAGTGCTATGCACGGTTGCAGGCTGCCAGAGGCAATACATTGGAATTATTGTGTGGAATTTTTGTAAAAATCCAATCAAATAACAGTAATTTATCACTCAGCTGTGATGATGGAAACTTTAAGAAATTGAAAGTGATTTTTTTTTTGCAGAGATGACAAAGGGGCTCACAAATTATTGCCACGAACAGATGCGAAAAATGAATATTTGCTGAAAGATTGTGATCTGGATTTGCGCAAACCAGTGCTTAGGTATATTTCGAGGAAGAATCCTCACAATCCTCGTTATGGCGATATGAAACTCTACTTAAAAGCACAGGTGGAATCTTTGATCAACGCCCTGAAGCCACTTCCGTTCAGGGGGAGGAGGGGGTTGGTGTGCGGTAAGTGTGACCTGAATTTGTCGATATTGCGATGCAGAATGCCCATCCCATATCCCACAATTCACTGTGGGACGGAAAAATAGAAAAACGCTTTTTTTATGTATTAAAACTAATTTTTTATAAAATTCCCAACATGAGACTTGGGCAAAATTGAGCTTGTAAGCATTATCTAAGTTGCCCCCAGTTATCGCCGTCTTCATTTTTCTACGCACTTTCTCCAGTACTCCTTCGAATCTCTTCTGCTAACTGCCTTTTTGAGACACCCGACAACACTGGTCTTTTTTTATTTGCTGAGGCAGCTACTTAGATTATTGAAGAATAAGGTTGAAAATGATGAAATAGAAAATGAAGAAGGGAAGAAGAACGAAGTGAAAAGAAAAGGAATGGGATTATTGAAATATTTTGTAATAGGTAAGAAATGTTTCGGTTCATTAAGTCGTATACGCTTTTTACCGTTATCACAACTGAACCTCGTCAGTACGACGATTGTGGTAACAAAGATAATTTAGATGAAGGTTTAGTGGTGTGTGTATGTGTGTGTGTGTGTGTGTGTGTGTGTGTGTGTGTGTGTGTGTGTGTGTGTGTGTGTGCGTGTGTGTGTACATAGTTTTAAGATAGGAACAAAGGGGAAAAACAGTGTCATTACGAGTGTACCTGCTATAGCCAGAACCAAATTTGTGTGCAAACAAACTGAATACTGTTGGGTTACTTTAACATAAATTTGCCTTTTTTTTAACTGACATCTCTGTCCTCTTTCATCTTTTAGCGCTTTTGAA